TTCTAATTATAATAATAACAGGACCCTAGATAATTATAATTGAGATCATATCTTACTATATTTTAAACTTTATTTTTCTTTTAACATGTAATTTTATTAAGTTAATATTATTTTTTACTATAGAAAAAAATGTTTCTTTTGAAGAAAAGAATCTTTTGATACCAAAATTTTGTAAATCTACTGATTAGAATTTGAGATAAGTATCATTATACAGGCAAAATTTGGCAAAAAAATATATGCTTTTTTACTATCGGTATACATAGAAATATACAAAAAAATAAAAATTACTATTATTAAATATTACTTAAGTAACAAAATTATAGATAATAGAAGAGCAATTATTATTACAAAGTTTTGTATCTATAGCTTTAAAAGTAAATTCAGGATGACAAGGGTAAACTTTTAGCATAGAAGATATGGGCACTTTGCAGTAGAAAAGGATGAAACTACTAAAAAAATTTAAATTTTCTTTTATATGCCAAAAATATTCTGCTAAATGATATAATTTGTTCAGATTTTATATTAACTCATTTTTTATTTTTTTTAGTAGTTTCGTCTTTTTCTATTGCAAAGTGCCCATATGACCTTAATTATAATTGTCCGGTGTTCTAGTGTAACAAAATTATAAAAGAAATTTTTTTTTAATAATGAATTATTTTTAAAAATTATTAATTAAATATAATTTTTACTACTTTACAAGTTTAAAGAAATTAAAGAATTTTATTAATAACTAAAATTGGTAAAATATCAAAATAGTGAAACTTTACTAAAATTATATAAAAGTCTTATTAAAAATTAGCAAAACTTTTAAAAAAAGCAAATTCTAATAAAATTTATTATAAATGCTAAAACTGCCAAAATTATAATAAAATTATAATAAAATTATAGTAAAATTTTAAAGTAATAAAAATGATTTTAAATATCATTATTAATTTATTTGACAAAAATTTTTCTTTTACTAAATTAATTGATAATAAAATTAATTATCTAGTATATATAAAGTCAAAATTAATATTTAAAATTTTCAAATAAATTTGCAAAGTAGGTAAAATTATACTTATATTATAAGTTTAAAAGCTTTTATATCAAAGAAAAAAATCTTTAATTGCCGATTCACCACTCAGCAATATAAAATGATCAGCAATCTATAATTAATCTTATCAGACATTTTTATATTAAATACTATTGCTTTTGAATGGTGTTTGCACAAGTTTGAAAATGGTTTGTTATAATATAAATGCCCTAAAAATACATTAAAAAAAGGTGTTACATTACTTAGCCTTAGGTATAGTTTTATAAAACTGGTAAAACTAAAACATTGCCAAAAAAAAAAAAAAAAANAAAATTTTTTTTATTTTATTTATTTTTTTTTTTTAAACATTATTTTGTTAATCTAAGCAAGAATATACCATATATTATATAATAATACAAAAAAACCTTGTAAAATTTGCAAAATTCACAAATAATTGGTGTAAAATTACCTAAAATATGAGCTGGAATGGTGACTTCCTTTAAAGTAAACTCTTTAAATTTTATAGCAAACGAAAAAAAATTTTTTTTTTGTGACATATTCACGTTTTACATTATTGATTGGTAAAGTATGGTTACATTAAGCATGACTTATGTAGGACAAAATCAGAGTTGAAATGTGCCGATCGATGTCATTCATATAAGAACTTGCGACGGATCTACTAATCAATTTTGTATCGTTGAGTGGCGGATTGGCAATTAATGATTTTTTTTGAAAATTACTACATCACAAATCAAGTACTTTATAAAGTATAAATGTATAACTATTATCACAATTAACTTAACTATTTACAATATTTTAACTTTATAACATTTTATTTAAAGGCTTTTTAAATCAAATTTAATTTGGTTCAATTTGAACTAGATCAAATTTTTGATTTAAATTCATAAATTATATAATTTGATTTGATTTGTCTCAAATTAGATCTATAAATATAAAACAGATCAGATTTTTTTCAGAATATTAGCATTTATTATTTTAAATAAATAATTATATAATATGTAGAAAATGACATGATATAAAGGATTTACTAAAATTTAAGTTATATTTATTTTTTTGTAAAGGAAAAAAAAACCAGATGAACTTGTTAATGATGATTATAATAAACTAATAAAGTTAGTTACAGTGACACCTCTCTAAGTGCACCCCTCTTGGGACCATAGTAAAAAAATAGTAGAATGTGCACTTAGAGAGGGTGTGCATTTATAGAGAGTAAAATATTAAGAGCTCTTATAAGTTGGGAACAGAACCACCGTGCACTTAAAGAGAATTTATATAGTGCGTGCACTTATAGAGGGTGCACTTATAGAGGTGTCACTGTATAATAGTTTGGTCATATATTTTAATAAGAAGGCTGAAAAGATTGAACCAATAAAAATTTATTGCTAGTTTACTAAAATATATAAAATAATTAAATTAATTATTGAAATTAATTATAACCATTGCTTGGTAATTATAGTGATTCAGTAACTTATGAGTGATAATAAAATGTTGTTAGTAAACCTTCGGATTACAGCCTATTTATTATTTAAAACAAATAAATCAATAATCAAAAAAGAATAAATAATTATAATAATGATGAATGATACTTACGGACTATTTATTATTTAACAATGATCAATAAGATGTCATTGTTCAACTTTCTGATCGCAGCCTATTTATTATTTAAAACAAAATAAATCAATAATCAAATTTTCATAATTAATTATAATAATGATGAATGATACTTACAGACTTTTTAATTATTTAAAGCATCAATAAATAATATGTTAATATTTTCAAAAGAATAAATATTTAGTTGTTATAATAACGACAAATGATACTTACTTGCAACTATTTATTTAAAATAAAATAAAAAACGAAAATTAATAATTTTTTTTTCAAACATAATAGTTATATTAATAATAATGATAAATGATACTTACGGCCTATTTATTAACATAAAAAAAAATTAAAAAAATGAAATTAACAGTTAATATATCTCCGAAAAAAACATAAAATAAAATAAATGATACTTACAGGCTATATACAAAAAAAAAAGCAATAATCAATAAATAGTATATTAATATTTTCAAAACGATAAATAATTAATTGTAATAATAATGACAAATGATACTTACATCTACCTCCCACTATTTATTATCAAATGAATAAAAAACGAAAATTAACAATTAACATTTTTTTTTTCCAAAAAATAATGGTTATAATAATAATAAATGATACGTACCACCTATATATTATTAAAATAAAATAAGAAAAAACGAAATTAACAATATTTTTTTTTTTTCCAAAAATAATAATGAGTATTAATTATAAAAATACTTACAAAAACCTATTTATTATTTAAATAAATAAATAAAAAACGAAAATTAACAATATATTTAAAAATAATACAATACTGTAAATATTAATTATAATAATGATACTTACAGCCTATTTATTATTTAAAATAAATAATAAATAAATAAAACGAAAATTAAATAGTTAATATTTTTTTCAAAGAACAATAAATTAATAATAATAGTAATGATAGTTACATCCTCCTATAAAACAAAACGAATATTAACAATTAATATTTTTTTTTTTTCAAAACAATAATAAATATTGATTTATTGTAAGATATTTACTAGATTCAAGTGGCGATGCTAAAGTGACGGCAGCAAAAATAGTTACTAATAGAAGGAAAATATTGAATTTCATTTTTATTTTTTGATTAATTGTTGTTGGTCTTTGTTGTCAATTTATTAAATATTGATTTTAACTTTTTTAAATTGTGTAGAATCAAGAATATACCATATTTATAACATATAATGGTCAAAATCCCGGAAGGATCGTATGAATTCTTTATTCTATTTGAATATAAATTATAATGGAATTTTTTTGAGTGAAAAAACTATTTACATATGATTACATATGATGATGGCAAGGATCGTATGATTTTCTTTATTCTCAACTATTGTCCTTAATAGTAATTAATTCTTTCATGATTTTCATAATGGTAAATATTGATAAGAAAATTTTCTGAGGCATAAGAATGGGCGACTCATTCCCGAATGTCATAATTTGGAATTAAAAAGGAAATTGATAAAAAAGGATAATAAAGAGACATTGAAAATGAAATCTATGGATATGTTTAATAATATAATTTTTATGGGCTCTAAGAATTATTAATAAAAAATTTCACATTCTCGAAGGCAGATTTTTTGCTATTCTGGGAATCCATATTCTCGATTATGTGAATGATTTATCGCCGTCATAGTAGGACAAATCGTCAAATTATAATGATTCGATATTTAATAACAATTGAAAAGAAGCGTCGCACTTTTAATACCTTGTACCTGATTCTACTTTCTCTTAAAGAAGAGTTTCAACAGATGCTTTGGTGAGCACGAAACTAAGGACCTTAAAAAATTTTCTCTTGCTCTGTTCATTTTACGTTATAAAAGTTGTAAAGATGATCACGTTAAAATGCTTCACCAATATGGCTGATCACAGCAGGTCTGTGCGACAGACGGTATTTTTTTGCACAAATAAATTTTTTTTTCACACATCAAAAAGCATTTCACGCTATGTCTATACTTTATATTAAGGAAATACAACCGCGAACGCTTTCTCTGTTAAAATAAGTGGGGGAGAGCCTGTTGGCGAGCTCAAAGACACTATTAGATAATTTTCCTGCAGAAAACTCAAGCTATGGACGAGCTATTAGCAATAAGAGAAACTACCTGAAAGAAACATTCATGTCTTACCGTGTCAACTGTCACTTCGAGCCGTGAACAGGAATTACTTGTCCGCATCGCTTAGTGTATTGGGTGTGTAAGGCAAATTATTATGTTAGATAATAATATTACTAAAAAAAATGAAATCTAAATATTACAAATTGTATTTTTCCTATCTGCATTGTGATAAAGAATTAATAGTAAGCATTATGACTAAAGAGCAAGAGTATTAGGATAATATTTATGACAAGATGGTTAAAAGTAATCAGATATATGAAAATTTACAATCAGTTAAAGAATTAAGAAAATTATTGATGGAATACAACAAAAAGTTTTCAACTCCAATCCTTAGAGGAATTGCAAGTCTGTCTATGGCTTCTATGGTGTGCATAGGATAGAGAGAGGGGGTGGCTTTGTTAAAATTTACTAACCGGGCATTATATTATGGCGTTCGATGTCCTGTTGATTCTGATCAGTCTTTAGATCTTGATCAATAAATTTGAATTTTCAAGTTACGCACGTAACGATTATTCTTTCATCACTGGTCATTATGCTGATCAGTCATAGTGTTATAGAATTATACTTATAGTACCGGCTGAAATTAAGGCGGAATCACTGCGCCGCTTGACACGATATTTTTTTGCAATGGAAATAAAGACATTGATGAATTAATACAACATTTACAACTTAATGCTGTACATTATCATAAATGTCTTGAATGGATACCTTTTGAGGAATTTCAAAATGTCACTTATATTACTGGAAAGCAAAATAAAAAGTGTCAACACACAACCAACTTCTTAGATAAAAAAGACATAGGAGACAAACACCCTTAACATAGAACTTAGCATACAAGGGGTCAGCACTTTCAATGCAAAACCTGGTTCTTTAAAAGGTAAAAATAAGAAGAGTTAGATTAAAGAGTGGTGGTAGTTAGATTATAAAGTGGTTAACAATACAAAATCATGAATACCAGAAAAGGCATAAAGAAATAGTCAGAGCATTAAAGAGATAACTACCAAAAGGAAGCATGTAATAAGTTATAGAGTGGTAACCAGATTATAGAAATTAGATTATAGAGTGGTAACCTATAGAGTGTTAATCAGATTTATAGAGTAATAATCAGGTTATGATAATTGGATTATAGAGTAGTACTATAACTTAGTCTAACAGCTAAGTGGTATACCACTCTTCTTTTTATTAATAAATATTAATAATAATTAATAATTGGAATATAAAAAAATTTTTTGATATATAAAATTTCAGGAAAAAATGCCGAAATATTTTTTTTTTAATAATTTTCAGATTAGGTTATCAAATTTATGATCCATCTCAGATTATTAGGTCAAAGTAGTTACCTAATTTAATATAGCTTATTCAGAGTTTTAATTTGATTAATATCAATTAAATTATCATAAATTTATCACCATTTGAATCATTTTATAATAAAATAAATCTGATGAACTAAAAATTAATGTTAAACTTGATGTTAAACAATTTAAAGTATAATTACATATCCAATACTAATTTTACAAATACAAATTGTTACCATTTAAATCTTTTTAATGAGATGAATGTAATGAATTTAAAATTATTAGATATCAAAATATACAATTTTTAAATTATAAATTATATAAATTTATACAAACTTAAAGATCTATATAGTATTTACATTTGCATAAAACCTATAATCATAAATAATACTATTTTATAAAACTTATGCAATATTATACCTATTATATTATATTAAAAAGTATATAAAGGATATATAAAAAAATATTTTTTTGGTTAATTTAAATTTTTATTTTCAATATATTATATACAGTAAATATAAATTTTTTCATATTAAAAAGTAGCTAGATAATTTTGACCTTTCCCTATATTTATAAAAATTAAATTTTTATGTTTTTTTAAAAAAAACTGTCTAAATAACAGTTTTTTTAATATAAAAAAATCCCATTTTCTTATAAATTTATATATATTTGAAATTGTATAATCAAACAGCAGTTATACAAAAAGTCAGATGTTTATTTATATAATAATAGTGATTTTTATTATAAATAGATTTTATTTTATATAATGATATTATAAAATTTTTTTATATTTAAAATTTTTAAAGACCATTTAAAATATTTTTTAATAAAAAGTTTTTTATTTGTTTTAAAGAATACTTGAAATATTTTTTAATAAAATTTTTTTTTTGTTTAAAAAATTTTTAAGAAATTATTTAGAATATAAAAATTTGTTTAATTAAGAAATTTTTAAAAATTCATTTATAAAATTAAAAAAAATATATATCTTGTTATTTATCTTATCATTTAGTAATTATAAAGAGATAAAACATAACTTATTGGATTTGTTTTAATAAGATAAATTAAATAGTGATAGTTTTATATTTTAGATGTAATAAATAGCAAGTTATTTAATAAAATGTAAAATACATAGTAAATATAAAGTGCTGATATGTAATATAACTCACATTTATAGTAACTAGAAATGTGAAACTACTATCATTTAATTCATCTTATCAGGATGAATGCTATGTTTCATTTTTCTACAATTACTGGATAGTAAGATATATAACAAAATGTATTTTTTTAATTTTGTAATGTGCATTTAAATTTTGCATAAAATCTACTATATTATACATATTGGGTTCAATATCTATAATTTTGATTGTAATATAACCAAAAATTATTTATATGTATAAGTTAAGAGGGGAATACTATATATGAAAGGTATTGTAACCCACATTATATAGTATATTAATAAAAAATACTTTAAGTAAATGATAGCCGGACTGATTTGATTCAGGAATTTTATTTTGTAATAGCTTAATGATACTAGATATCCTCTACTATTCGTTTAATAAAATGTGTGTTAACTCTTAAAAAAAAAAAAGATATAATTCAATGGTTTATAATTATTGATAATTATATTTCGAAAACGGACTTTTTTGTAAAATAAATAGCATCCAATTTTTCTTATAATTTTAATTAAAATAAATGATTATAAAAATTTTTGTAATAATTATTACATCTGCGATAATTAAATTTACAAATATGATTAATAATCGAATTCACAGAATTCACAGCACTATCTGGCCACACTTAATTTCAGTCGAATTACGTATGCCGGCCATTTCGTGACATTTTTTTCAACGCTAAGTGTGGACTTGTTGCTGCGCCACGACGGTTTTTTTTAAATAACATTATTCAAGATTTTTGACTGAGATTTGCGTTTATCTCGGGATGATAGATAAAAAATGTGCTATCATTTATTAGTTTTTATTTTTTAAACGTAACCACAATTTGAAATTTAATTTACAGTAAACGTGAAAGTACTAGAATAATACTGATTGATTACAAAAACGGATCATCGCGAATTTTCGGAAACAACTAATTTAAAAGTAAGACAGCGAACCATTTGTAAAGCAAATATACAGTATCGTTTTTATTTATGAAGTAACTATTAACGCAATTTTTTTTAATAATGTCGTTATTATATTGCTTATAAATTTAGATTCTAATGCCATTTGATTAATAATATATGTATGGATAATGCATATCACCTTAATTAGGACTACTTTGCTGGATTTAGTTTTATCCGGTTGTGAAATAAAAAGTATAAAATGGCTTACCCTCAAACATAAAAAACACCGCCAAATTACAAAATAAAATGACCACTGAAATTACACTCGAAAATATCGGAGCTCCAAACGTGCCATATTTTACACCAATTCAAGACCCTCCACCGGGTACGCCATTATCTTTAATCAAACGTAAAATCACCCAATCTAATGGAGAGATTACAGAATTTCCACCATTATTTACACCGCTAAAAATTCGTGATACAATATTACCAAATAGAATAGTAGTATCACCAATGTGTACATACAGCGCACAGGATGGTATGTTAACGGACTGGCATTTAGTACATTTAGGCCAATTTGCTCTTAGAGGGGTAGGATTAATTATTATAGAAGCTACAGCTGTAACGGCTGAAGGTAGAATATCTCCTAATGATTCAGGATTATGGAAAGATGAACAAATTGCTCCATTAAAAAGAATTGTAGATTTTGTCCATTCTCAAGGAGTTAAAATTGGTATACAATTAGCACATGCTGGTAGAAAAGCTTCCACAGCAACACCTTATATTCTTTCCAAAGGACTTTTATCTCCGGAAAAACATGGTGGATGGCCAAATGATGTTGTTGGGCCTTCTCCTATTCCTTGGGACGTAAATCACGCGTATCCAAAAGAATTAACTGTAGAACAAATTTATGAAATTGAAGAAGCTTATGTTGCTGCTGCTAAACGCGCTGAAAAAGCAGGATTTGATATAATAGAACTACATTTTGCTCACGGATATCTTGCTCACGAATTTTTCTCTCCTATTTCAAATAAACGTACAGATCAATATGGTGGATCATTCGAAAATCGTGTTAGATATGGGTTAGAGACTACAAAAAAAGTTCGCGAAGTTTGGTCAAAAGATAAACCCTTATTTGTTAGAATTTCTGCTACAGATTGGGTTGATAATGGCGAAGGTAATAGTTGGGAAATCAAGCAATCTGTTAAATTATCTGAGCTATTAAAGGATCTTGGTGTTGATTTAATTGATGTTTCCTCCGGTGGTAACACACCTGAACAAAAGCTTCATCCTATGACTGCTTATCAAGTTTCTTTTGCCGAAGAAATTAAGAAAAATGCTAATATTAATACGGGTGCTGTTGGTTTGATTAGAGATCCTAAACTTGCTAATAATATTGTGTCAAGTGGTTATGCTGATTTGGTATTTTTGGCAAGAAGCTTTTTGCTTGATGGTAGCTGGGCAATTAAGGCTGCTGAAGAATTGGGTGTATTGATTAGAACTCCTACACAATATCATTATGCAATTGAGAAGTTTTTGATTAGAGATGCTTGATAGTGGTTTATTCCTTTATTTTTATAATTGAATATATAAAATGAATAAATAATAAGATAAAAATTTATCTTTTATTTACTTATATATATAGTTTTTTTACAACTTTCCATATCTTTTATTTTTCTGTTAAATCTTTTCAGAATAATTATTCATTTTTCTAAAAATTTTTATTTAAAGTATCTAATAAAATCATGGTTTTTTATTAAAAATTGCAAATATATAATTGGGTATTGCTAAATACCACCAATACCACCATTAGTAATGGTTACCGGTAGTGAAATTATAATAGAATACCAGCCAGTATTTTAATTCTGGTCAAAAGTTACATCATAATATATTTTTAAAAATATCAGATTTTTTATATAAAATTAAACTTCATAATGTATAAGTTAAACTTAAAAAAAAATATAATTTGCTAATTTTATTTTTATTTTTTACTTTATTTTAAAAACTAAAAAATAAGGGTTTTGTTTTTTTTATTGCACCTGTATTATATCATATCTATACTTTTTGTCAAAATGACAAAATACTAATTAAATTTATTTTGACAGATGTAATTAATTCATAGTAATTTTATAATAAATAGTGAATTGGTCTGTTTACCAAAATACGATGTAATTAATTAGCAGAGAAGTATAATCATATCCTTATAATATATTATATATAAAAGTCAAAAATGACATTCTAAATCCTTTTTGATATATTAAGAAAACTTGTAAAGCAGTCAAAAATATGCATAATATAAAGTTTTTATAGTATATAATAAGTGCATAAGGTCTTATGCCAGGATTTTTTAAAAAATGAAAAATCTTAATGACATCATATGATCAAAATGATTGATATAATTAATATATAAACTTATTGTTTTTTTAATTTAAATTATAATTCACCCATATTAAAAATATCTTTTAAATCATTTAAAAAAAAAAAAATCTACCTTTAATTATATAATTTATGTATTTTTTCATTTTGATATTAATTGTTAATTTAATAATTATATTTCATATTAAAGTGTTTAATATTGCAGCAATATATACTTATATTTTTTATATTTTTATAAGTTTTTTGATTTCTTTTTATTTTGTAAAATTTCTAGTTCAACAAATTTACTTAATACTTTAAAAAACTTATAAATATTATTTTTTAATATTTATAATTAGAAATATTGAATTTTATTTAATATGAAAAATAAATTTATTCTTATTAATAATATTACATATATTTATAATTTTATATAATATATAAACAAAAATCTTTTTTTAATTAAATTTTTTTTTTAAATATACAAATATCTTATTAATTATTTTTAATAGTTTCTTTTATTAATTTTATTAATTAATATATTATTTTCAATATATTGTATAATTTTATTTTATTAAATAAAAAACTAAATATATTTTATTTTAAAATATAAATCCACCAGTATTTTAATTTTATAAAATTAAATATAATATTTATATAATTATTTTTAAAGTGTAATTTTACCATTTTAGTTAAATAAAATTGACTTTTTTTATTAATTGAAAGTTATTTAATATTTATATAAGTATAAATATAAATAATACTTATATTTTTATAATAATACTAATTTTTAAAGATTTGTTTTTCTATTTATTAATTTTAAAATATAATTTTATTTTTTTTTATTTAAAGAGTTTTTAAAGAGTTAGTTTACATTTATTAAACAAATACAGTAGTAAAAAATACAGTTAAACCTTAATATAGCGAATCCTTGATATAGTGAATTTTTCAGATAACTATAATAAATTTCCCCTTACTATAATGAATTAACCAATCAAATCTCTTAAAATCTTCACTATAGCCCTATAGCGAAGTTGAGGTCTGAAATCTAGGATTCGTTATAATAAGAGTTGACTGTACATAATATTACTAAACTATTACAAAATAAATCTTCTAAACAAATACCCAATCTAATTATACTCTTAAATATTAATATATGATAAAATATGTATATTATCTTCCCCAAAGTATTTGGCTAAATTCTATTTGATTTTCTTTAGATCAATTATATTAAATATCATTTTTTTTTAAAAAAAAAATAATAATTCCTCTAATTCTAACAATTAAAATAGATGTAATTTTATTATATTATGATACATGTATCAGATTTAGCAATTAAAATTATTTGATTAAAATATCATAAGCAATGTTATAAATAATGCTCTGGGTCATATTACAAGAGAAATTAAAAATTAGATTGTACAAAAATAATTAAAGTTTTTTCAGATTGGTCTTTTTAATTTCTGAACTTTAATTCTATTGAATATTTGTTGAAATATGTATTAAAACAATAAATGCCCAACTAAATACTAATTATTATTAATATAATATAGTATTTATTAGTTAGGCTGAACCAAATTAATTATCTGTTTTACATATCCTCCCTCCCCAATTTTTCTCAAATAATCAGAAAAAATAAATAATCACGTGACAAAAGTCTAGCCAATAAATGCTTAGTATCATGTGAACATTAAGCTATTTAATTTGATCTTCATATTACATCTATCATTAAACTTTAAATTTTTTTAATTTAAAATAAAAAATGCAGGTTGCATTACGTACTTGCAGTTTTGTTTTACATGACACGACATTTAAAAAAGGACACTTAAATGTATATAATTGTTCAAGTAAATAAGGGTGCTAAAATTTAATAGGCCCTTTGGTAAAAGAAGTAGAGGAAACTTAAGAAAGTAGTTTGTTTTCAACTTTATTTGATCTAATAACTTTTGGAAATTACTTTCACCGAAATGTATGTGTAGAAATTAGAAAATCAGAAACTGAACCTTAGATATTAGTGCATAATAAAGGATTAGAGAGTAAACTTTTATTAATGAAAACATTAGGATTTATGTACCTCAAGTATATTCTTCTTTCACACGATGTTGCTGCACCTTTATCACCACCAATACAACTTCCTAACGCTCTTACAAGGTTGATAGGTTCTAGGTATCAATTTCCAGCACAAAAATGTGAAGATATACGCAATATATTATTATATAACCATATTATTTAACTTTTCAGAGTAGGTGTGACAGTTGGCTTGGAGATGGTCATATTACTTATGGAAAATGATTTATTGAACATTTAACTAAGGCTATATGGTATATAGACCTACACTTAGAAAAGTTACGCTTAAGAGGATGTCATCTTCCATCATTATTTAACTCTCTTCCAGTGTATTAGCAAAATGGCATTTATAATGAATATTATCAAAGAATGAAGAAAAAAAAACTACAACTTACACGCCTAGAACTTTTTCAATTAGCTAATTCTATAGAGCTTTCTTTAGCTGAACCTTGGGTAAGGTTGCTTGGCTAAATTCATTTTAACTTTTACTAAACTTTAATTAGTAATAGTTTAAACTATGACAAAAGGTTTCGATAATAGCTAAATGTCTAAACTATGTCTAAACTTTCTAATTAAAATAAATAATTATTAATACATTATTATATATATTTAAATAAATTTTTTATAAATAAATATTATATATTAATTAACAATTATTAATAAATATAGTTAGATTTCCATATAGTAATAATTACATTATATAAAATTTCTCCATATAATCACACCTTTGGGAAAAACCAATTTATATACTTATTATATAAAAAAACCTTTATATAATTACATCATAGTAAAAGTCTCTATATAGTTACCAATTTTTGCAGAACCGATTAGATAACTATATAGAAATCTGACTGTACTTATAATGAAAAAGTAAAATTATAAAATTGGTTATTAATTAAATTTACTATATATTTTAATATATATAATGATTTAAATAATTAATATAATGTATATTAAATTTTATAATTGCAAAACTGGTTAAATTTATATTAATCATATAATTTATTCTAATAAATGGTAAACTTTATTAATTATTATGTAAAAATATATATGTCTAAACCTTTCATAATTTTACCAGTTTTGTCAGTTTCGCAGTTTAGCAAATTTTTAATTTTTTAATAAAATGTTTCAACTAGTTTCAATTTTAACAATTGTCTAAACTACTTAGTTTCACCCAGCAACTTTAACCTTGGGTATCTAAAAACTCTTGGCAAGAAGTTGTATTAAATGTCTTTAAATTCATATCCATGATGAAGAAATATCTTGATCATCTTGAAACTACTAATAATAATATGAAGACCCTTTATGAAAGTGAAAACCCAGCATGTGAACCATCTAATAACTGTAATATTCATCTGATTTCTAAATGTAATGAAGAAATTGATTCAAGATATTGTATATTAGATTTTGATCTTGCAAATAGAGAAGTATTTGATTTCGTTGATCTTAATCTCTATATATCAAATGATTCTATAAAGAAATATAATTTTATTTGTGATATTCAGTTATCTGTTTCTACGGGATTATACAGGTAAGATTCTTGTTTTATATTTGAAAATTTTAAAAGCATGCAATTACGCGTTAACGCACATGATTACAAAAAGCATTTTAATCTATAAAATTATTTATTTAGATATCCTCATGGTAATTATCTTGGAATACTTAATTTTATATAGAAAGCACCTGATACTGAAGAAACAAGTGATTATATTTTATTTTATAATTTTTATAATTTAATTTAATTAATTAATTATAAATTTTATTAACAAATTATAATTAGCTCAAAGAAGGAGCAACTCTTTCCGGAATTATTGAAACCAATATTTCACGGCAGAAAAATACCGCAGGGTATAACTCAAAGAGTTGGAAAAACTTTATTTTATTTATAAAATATCAACGTTATTGTTGCTACTAACTACTAATAGTTTATATGTTTCAGCTTTAACGATACTAACAACATGGACTTTACGAAATTGTCTTTTATTTTTAAAGGTTCTTCATTTATTAATGATAGCTTTATAGACGATGAAAAATACAAAATTTTAGCAAAACTAGCTGGTTCACTTATCCTACACGATAAATATTTGCTCGCGGAAAGGCTTGGAAATATTAAAATCGCGGTAGCATTGTGGATAAAAAGAGTACAAACATTTTTAGTGCAAGAAGAACAAAATAATATTTTCACGCGTTTTTCAGCACAACAACAAAACAATGACAATTTACCGACTGGATCTAGGAATCTTGTACCAACTTCTAATAATAATATCTCATACCAAGATGGTATACAACATTTAACCAATGATATAACAGACAAAATTACGGGTTCCAATATCGACAACTCTAAGGATTCTCGACATCCCGATACTACGTCCTATCAATCACGTGATAACAATAAAGAAACAACAGAGATTGTACCACTGAATAAAAAGAAACGGAAATCAAAAAATAAGGAACTTCAACCTCTTAATTCAACAGACGTAACTTTTGTTCAACAACAATACAACGATAAGGAGGAATTGGACTTAGAAAAACATAATAGCAAAGTTTCGTCAAAGATACCAACGAATTATGGAAAAAACAGAAATCAGAATACTCACGTATCTGATATGGAGGACATCATTGCCATTCCTGTACTCGACTTTAACAATCAATCAGAAATATTAATAGACATTTCAACAGTGCAGAATAACATAGATATGCCCTCGTCATACGTCTTTCCATCTTCGCTTTCATCGAAAGGTAGTGAAGAAGTGGATAATATTTTGGAACTGTGGCTGATTAACCAAGACGTAATTATGACGGAAGCCGAAGATAATATAATGGACAACTCAATCTCCAATTATAAGGAAGAAATGGATCTTAAAGATCAAGATGCATCAAAAGCCGCATCATCAATCCAAGAATTTGAATCAGCCATTAAAACAAAAGCTGACAATCAAAAATGTACAAAAATCGATGATAAGACAGATCACAATTGGTATCCACCTTCAAAAATTAAGAAACTAAAAAAAGTTCTCATGGATATAAAAAAACATTCAACACGCAACCAAATATCAATGCACACGTTTATAGAAGAAAAAGTTGCAACTTACGATGCTTACATTCCAATTAATGATATAAACTTCTATGACTCGTTTGATGATAAACTTGCCTTCATCGAACTTAACGTACATAACTTCTCAGACTACGCTGGAGTAGAATACAATGCGACTGATAAACACATTATTATAAAGAACTACGCAATTGGTGGGATAAGACGCATGGTACGATTGTTTAATCATTTTTTCAAGAACAGCAACCTTAAAATGAAAGAAAAGAAGTACTATACGCTACATGGTCAACGAATTTCTAGTAGAGAGTTCAAAATTTTGGAAGTACCTAACAATATAGATAGAACTAGCATCGAAAGTAGCATTAGACGCTTACTGCATGGTAGCCCTTTTTTCATAACGGACAAAAGTTTTAAATACAGGTCAGAGAATACTATGACTGTTTACTTCACAGTAAAGGACGAATACGCAAGACAGCTGTTGAAGAATGTATGGTCCATTGATATTGAAAACTATATTTACCGTCTTAGCCCTGCGCATTTCAAAGCTAGTGATTTTGATGAAAGAGAGAAGTATAGAGGTGAATTTATAGGTTTTAGAAAAGAGCATACAGTGGCGAAAGCATTGGAAATTACTGCTCCTTTTAACCCCAAAAGCGCATTCAAGCAGAGCCCAGACAAGATCATTGTGGAATTTCAAAATGAGGCTGACCTCTTTAATGCTTGTGACAAGAATTATCACTTTAGCGATTTCAATATCAAAGGATACCCATTAGGTTACAACTGGCCACAAAGGGACCGCGCCATAAGTAAATTAAAGAAGTTACAACTTGACAAGAGCAATCACACACCTG